CCAACAACGGTGTACCCTGGTCGAACTACTCCTCCAGACAAAGTTTCGTTCAAGTCTGCCCTACCCAATATCGGTGAAAATCCCCCCCCCCCGCCACCTCAGAAAATGGGGTCTTGACGCGTCAGACAGAAGATCCGAGACAAGGCAGTGAGAATTCAAGAAAAAAAAAGAAGAAAAGAGCGAAAACGATAAGGCAAGTCAACGAGTAGCTTCCTTTTTCATCTGACAACCTACTCCTGTTTTACTATTGCCTCATTACTCCACTCGTAGTAAGCTTATGTGGGCGAAGGCCATCCTTCCCCCCCCTCCCCTTCCCTGCTTTCCTCACCCTTCCCCCAACCCTCCCACGCCTTGGTTTCATTGCTCCCGTAGCTCAACAGTGACCCTATTATTTTCGCCTCATTGCTGGATGACTGCAATTGCTGGGTATATTCAGCCGTTCTGCAGCCATTTCAGGTCATAAATCAAGTGTTTCAGAGACAAGATAAATCTCCTGCACTAAATGGACCCTTTTAACAGGCGGCAATAAATATGACAAAATTGTGCAATAATAGAGGCGTCGCTATAACGTATCATTACATCCTTCATCTTCGGATTACCGTACTATTCAGGTGCCAAGGAGGATTCCTAGAATCGCTGAAAGCCTCGATGAAGCGATCTCAACTTATCTAGGGCCTTCTTCGCTGGCGCGTGCCGGCGGGGGGAGGAGAGGGGGAGCTGGGCTTGGCGCGGAGCCACTTACTTTTCCACCAATTGTGGTCGTGTGCCAGCTCTCACAATAGGTGGCGAATAGAACAGCGCCGCGCCAGACCCAGCCCCGCTGTTGCGCCAAAGCGTCCGCAGCGAAGAAGACTCCGGGTACAGCATCGTGACGTGTGAAATGGTAGTGTAGGTACGACCCCCCCTCTCCGAGAGAGGGTGTCAGTACGACCCCCCCCCCACCTAAATGAGGGTCTCGGTACGCCCCCCCTCCCTTTCTCCAACACCTACCTACCCGTTCCCCACATTTTCCAGTTTTTCACCAAAAACTTTCGTCTGTCTGAGCCCAGGCGGGAGGAGTATAATTAGTACAATGAGACAGGCAAAATCATGCGAAAATATCAACAAATAGGAAACAACCGGGAAACTTTTTCCAGCGTTAGCAAATTCACCTCAAGAGCACATACGACCTCACCCTCCCCAGCGACAAAAGTACGACCCCTTGTATGGTTCTCACTACAGGATTGCAAGTACCCTTGCAGAAGGCCACCCTACTTTTAGCGGGTATATGAGCGCATTTCATTTACAAACGGTCGCAGTCAAACGTGCGTAAAAAACGCTCGCCCGAAGGGTTTCTAACATATCAGAACGTGAATACCAGCAGTTATGAGCGAGGAAAAGCGCCCAAAGGGCACCAGGTGGGCCTGAATCCGACCTCAAAAGCACACACGGTGTGCCTCTAAGTTCGTGACATTCATTTTTAACCAGAATCGGCAGTGCTGCGCATTACAATAGTGAAATCGATACAACCAACCGACCTTTCACCTTATCCTTATCATTCGGCTCAGACTTCTCTGACGCCCCCACATGACATATCGCAGCTGATGACCAATCAATATTCACGCTGATGATTTCTTATCAATCAATCAATGACGACGCGTCGCGTTGATGAATTGGTTCAATTGCCGAGCGGGTTGTCCGACGTGATTGTCGGAAATGCGACAACTGTTGCACAATAAAAATACACATCATTTCGTAGGTTGCGCTTTTGAAAGCGCTTTTTTATAGGTCCTTTGTGGGTTTGTCGGCCTTTTGAATTTGTTCTGCACCTCATTTCAGTACTGGTAAGAGTACTGTAATTCGTTATGAAGTGGTAAACTGGCGCTCAAGGGCCTAAAAAATCGCGTTCGCAATAAGTATGTGAGACCAATTTCAAGGAGATATATTCTCCTCCGGCACGTCCTGAGGTTGGAGAATGTTTTTCACTTAAAATTAGCACCCCTCCCCACTAAATATTCTCCCCCGACACAACCATTTTCATTCAGATTCCTCCGATCAACTGTTGGGGATAGTGCTTGTATCGCGCCATTTATTAGGGAGAATATGGAGTGGGTGTGAAAGGGAAGAAATCAGCAGTCGAAAAGCTATTTTAGAAAAACTATTTTCTTGACAAAAGCGCCTCCTAGCCTCCAGCACCAGATATGACCCCTGCGGAGATCCCTAACCTACGCTGTGCCTCGCACGGGAATTCCCTGGGAAATCTGTCTAGAGAATAAATTCCTGACTTTCAACCTCACTTCATACTTTTCTAACGATTGAGACTAGGGTTACCTATGGTCGAATTGTTCTCCGAGTTGAATCGAACTGTTTAAGAGGTTGCCCTTATATCTCCTAGAATCCCTGGACTGTGTGGACCCAAGACCATTTCAAAAGTCCGTGAGATTTCGCAGTACTATTCATCAATCTTTCGATGTGTGATCGAAGAGGGATTTTCAATGGTTCAGACGCAGACACTCCGATCAGACAGCGGTGGCGGTCCCTCCTTTCTGACGATAACTCTTTTTCTGCTCAGCCAAGAAACTGAAGGATGGGAACCGATCTGATCTTAAAGGCAGACTTTGCGAAGAGAAAGCGGAAAAATTGTAGGTAGCGTGGTTGAGAAAAAAATTGTATGTGCTAAGTGATTGCTCGTGATGAAAAGGAAAGGAAACCGTAAAGAAGGCTTCAAATAAGACCCTACTGCCCGCGAAAGGCAAATGATCAAAGTGTTATCGGTAGAGAAGTCAGAGAAAACAGCGAGACAGCATGCAAACGAAGGAGAGCATAAATAAGACATCCACCCACCAACTTGGGCGGGATCACTTGAGCAGCCTTGTGCCTTACCCTCCTACCTTGCCATTTTCTGACGTGAGATCTCGACCTCGCGTCGATCAGTGTGAACTGAGAATATCCTCGCGTTTAAAAGCGAAGATTATACGAGTAGCAACTGTAGCCGGCGACACACTACCGGAATAGGAGCAGAGGAGAATCGTGCATTAGAGAGAATACGAAAATGCTTTCGAAAGGACGTATGAGTATCGCTGGAGAACAGGAAAGGAGGGTTTCATGCGCCGAAACTTTCATCATGGCAAAGTGCCTATCCCCTCTATCCAGTGGTCAAATACGACCCTTTGAGGTTTTACACGACAAAGGATGACCCTGTACCCAAAACCCAGTTGTACTTCAATCAGCATTCTCTTGGATGATGACGTTGTTGAGGTGCTCTGCCACGAACGGCTTCATATCTCTTGACACAAGAGACGTTGACGATGCCGACAAAAACTTTGACACCTCGGGCAGCAGCTGCTGTCTGAGTCGGGCGTAGAGCATTGCAGCTACACCCGAGCTCACGATTCGTAGGAATATCAGCTTATCTATCCGTTAAGAGAAAATGCAGGTACCCCCGTCAAGCCGTGCAGGGAGGGATCTAGAAGGAAGTGGTCATAAAGCTTTCGAGTATTCGGTCAGAGCACTGGATGTGACGATAGTGAAATCAGAAGGGAGGTCATGCTACATTCTGCACCAGGTTCCTGTCACCCGACCTATCTGCTTCGTCCACTCGACCGCGATCAAGCCAGAATTACGAAGAAAGTTGAAGGTGAGAGGTTGGATAGACCCTGCTCGCTGCGGATTATGGGGCTTCGCGTCGCTGAGATAGACTTGGCGCTCGGCACAAAGCCCACTCTCCGACACTTGTTGGAGCGGGAGAGTCTAACGGAAAGTAGCTGATATGAACATGAGTTTCCAGTCCGTTTCGCCTTGTAAATGAAAAAGAGGGGAAAAAAAGGCTTAGCGCCCTGTCTTAAACCCAAGCCCCTGATACTCCCCGTTATCCGCAGTGACCAGGACTGTAGATAGGATTGGAAAGGAAGTCAGACCAAAACGCAAACTTTGGGGAGAAGGAGATGACTTAGGCAAAAAAATTCCCATTGTGTATTGTGTGGCTGCACCGAACCTTGCTGTCCAGCGACCATGCTCGAAGACGTCACCTTTAGAGAACTACGAATTCACATTAATCTCACCACTAAGTGGGAGGACATTAACTTTACGAGAAAATGACGAATAGTCCACAAGAACCACGACATTCAACGCCGCACTATAAGCGTCCCACACGCCACAGGGAGAAACTCCCATTGTCAAGTTCGAGAGAAGCCGGCTGTACTTCAGTTGAGAGTTAAAGACGGCGCTGCTCACAGCAGTGTATTGTCTTTTTCGCGCAAGCTCGTATCTTTTGTTGTCCGCTCAATCAAGAAAAGCCCATACAAGTTCCTGGAGATGGGGAAATCTTAGCGAGTGGTCACCCACGATATTTTCGAATGGGAGCATGAGCATTACTCGGGATATGGGCCTAGTACCTGCAACCGTGCTCAGTGAGGGATTACGAAGATTTATAATTATCATTTGGGATATTCTTAAATTCAAATTTTTAAGAAGCGGTGCCTTGTCGGTGCGGATTATAAGACATCCACCCACCAACTTGGGCGGGGTCACTTGAGCAACCTTGTGCCTTACCCTCCTACCTTGCCATTTTCTGACGTGAGACTCGATCTCGCGTCGATCATGTGGAGCTTAAGATATCGTCGATTTAAAGCGAAGATATCATAGGTAGCAACTACCCGACACTACAGATACCGGAGCATGAGGAGATCGTGCATTATAAAATACGAGAATGCTTCGAAAGGAGTAGAGTATCGCCTACGAAAACAGGAAGGAGGGTTTCATGCGCCGAAACTTTCATCATGGCAAAGTGCCTATCCCCTCTATCCAGTGGTCAAATACGATCCTTTGGGGTTTTACACGACGAAGAATGACCCCTGTACCCAAAACCCAGTTGTACTTCAATCAGCATTCTCTTGGATGATGACGTTGTTGAGGTGCTCTGCCACGAACGGCTTCATATCTCTTGACACAAGAGACGTTGACGATGCCGACAAAAACTTTGACACCTTCGCGGCAGCCCAGCTGCTGTTCTGATGCGGGCGCTAGAGCATTGCAGCTACACCCGAGTCCGCATTCGTGAGACGGCTTTCAATTTCGTTAAGGAAATGGTATATTCCTGGTCCATCGCGTGCAGCGGACGGAGTCTAAAGGACAAGGGTCATAAGGCCTTCAAGGCAGTCGGCGAGCATTTGATTGATAGTTGAAATCAGAAGGGACGGGATGCATGCTAGCATGCTGGAGCGGGTGCCTGTTCACCCTACCTGTCTCTTCTTCACCCGCCGATCGACGCCGAAATTCGGGAAAAGTTGGAAACGTGGAAAGGTGGTAGAGTCTTGTTCGCTGCGGATGATGGGGCGTGTCAGTGAGACTAGACTTGGCGCGCACACAGCCCACTCTCCATCACAATGGTTGAAGCGGGAGCCTACAACAATTGGTGGAAAGTGACTGATATGAACCATGAGTTACAGTCGTTTTCGCTTATCGAATGAAAAAGAGGAAAAAAGGGCTAGCGCTGCGCTAAACCCACGCCCCTGACACTCCCCGTTATCCGCAGTGACCAGGACTGTAGATAGGATTGGAAAGGAAGCCAGACCAAAACGCAAACTTGTTTTCCGTGAGGGAGAAGGAGATGGTTTCATTTAGCAAAAAAAAATTCCATATCGTGATGGTGTGCTCCGAACCCCTTGCCTGTCCAGGACAACTCGAAGACGTCACCTTAGACAATTACGCGAGTTCACATTAATCTCACCACTGAGTGGGAGGACATTAACTTTACGAGAAAATGACGAATAGTCCACAAGAACCACGACATTCAACGCCGCACTATAAGCATCCCACACGCCACAGGGAAACTCCATATCGAAGTTCGAGAGAGCCGGCTGTCTTCATTTTGAGAGTAACGACGGCTCTGCTCACAGAGTTATATTGCCTTTTTCGCCAGCTGTATCTTGTATTTGTCCAGCTCAATCAACAAAGCGCAACAGCTTCCTCAGATGGAAAAATCTTACGAGTGGTCACCCACGCCATTTTCGAATGGAGCACGCAGCCACACCGGGATACGGGCTGTACCCTGCAGCCGTGCTCAGGAGGGTCGAATTTCTATCCCAGTTGAGATTCCTATTCAACTTCGAGAAGCGATGCCGTAGTTAGGCGAATACAAGCAGTTTCTTTCTAAGAAAACACCACAAAAAACGAAAGAATGCGAAAATCTTTGTGGAGGAATCAAAGGCAAGAAAAATCAACAAACGTCCAAAAATCTTACGAAGACTCGTAAAACCACATCGTTACCTGGAGATCTTTCCATCGCCACAATTTGCAGCATAGGTACGGCATACTCATTGGTCGATCAATTTGTGGGATCAAGCCGGAATCCTCTTCAGGTTGATCGTCATCCGGTCGTTCGTCCATCGGTGGTCCAGGGGCACACGCCTAAAATTACGCTAGTCTGACTCAAAGTTCATGCCCTGACGGAATTGTGATAAGAATCGAAATCTCAAAATCTGGCCTAAATTTTTACAAACAGGACAGTAAAGGGTAAGTAGTTCCCTGCTTCTTTGATAGAAGGGTAAGGACAAGTATGAACAGGTGAAGTTTACTCGCCTTTGCGTCCACACCACCTGACTCGACTGCTTTCCGTATGACTTCCACGTCTTCGGCGTCAAAACCCCGCATCAACCGTAGAAACCTGAACAAACAAGGGTTACACTTCAGGAAATGACATCCAGGAACCTTGTCTGTGGTTGAACAAAAGAATGCTGAAAATAAAGGATTTTCGAGATCCCATGAACAAACGATTACCCCTTTTCCACACCTCCTTTCAACCATAGACAAAGTTTTCGGGTTCCAATATGGGATTCATCTCATGCTCCTCATAAGAGTATGAGATGAGTGAACCCCAATGAGTACTATCAGTTCCGTCACACCAGATGTCCTGAACACATGTGAACATTTGTTTGTTCTGTTGTTCATTTAAACGCCAGTTTCACACAGCTAGCTTGACCGGAGCGTCACTTCAGTGGCGACTACAAGCGCAGCTCGTTCTTTACCTGGCCCCTGCTGCCGTTATATAGCAAATGCGTATCTCCTATTACATAAGTTATCTAATATTATTATTAAGTTATCAAACAAGTATGCACAGACATGGAAATGAACAGATAAATCAATTATCAAGTTGGGTGTTGTCGCTTTCATGCGAAGTCTAGCCGCCATGTAGGGTATTCTGACGGTACACTGCCACTTCATCATATCCCGACGAGAGTCACAAAAGGTTAGGCTCCTTCGCCGAGAGGATGCAGACAGACACACATGATCAGGTTCAGCCCTGCTAAAGAGCTGTTTCTAGCGAGGCCCGCAGTGCCCACTTTTCAACAAATCAAATGATTCCAAATTTTGTCCAAAGAACTAGTTATGATGGACTGGAACACTCAAAAGTATGCTAAATATACTGTTGTGCTGCAGTTATACTGTACGTTTATTATGAATGAGTGATATGTTATGCAAGATATTTATATTGATGTTGATACAAGATATTGATATTTTCAGGTAGAACAAAAAAAAGAACAGAAAACAATACCAGTAAACAAACAACAAAACACAAGTAAAAGCACAGACTACCATTTGAAGCAGTGGTTAAAACTGGGATATTTAGATAATTAAACGGAGAGCTCCAAATAGCAGCACGGCTACTGCCCACCCTGATCACAGGGGCGCAGTGGAGTCCACCAACTCGTCCTTGTTATTAGCGCGTTCCCCTCTGGAATAAAGAAAGAAAAAGGGAAAGAAGTAAAGCAGAACAGTAAAGAAAGTATTTTAGGGGGAAAGAATACATGGGGGACGCGCAGGCTCGATTCGGCTTTTAAGCCAGTTATACACCTTTGCAAGACTACAGAAGCAAGATAACCCGTTACAAAAGGTCAGTAATAGGATTTCGAGCGCGTGTCAGCTACCGTTCTTCGGTCATTATGGTTTGGAATCAACGTCCTCCTAGGCGCTAGAATCGCTAACAGCAAAAAAATATGTACCGAAGAAACAGATAGACCAAGAGCTGCACAATATTATGGCTCTTGAGGAGAACCATTCAAGAATATTTGTGCTTTGGAGAACAGTGGATTTGCTCCTTTGGGGAAGAGGAGGTTTCTCGAATCTTTTCGCAAATGAATAACCAATTGTGGATTTGGAAGCAGCTATTGTAGCTTATCTCAATCTTTCTTGCCAATACCCCTCTAAAAGCTGCTTTATTACCTTCACAAAGCTGTAGGTGTGTATTCAGAAGTGTTTTTCGACAAAATGATCAATCAATGATGAAAAGCTGCGAATGCAGCAAAAAATGATTGAAGAGAACTACGCGTATAACTAGCAAACACTAAGATGAATGGTGAGAATGGGCAATACGTCAAGGGAGCGCCAACAAGGCAAGAACGGCGATTTCTGCCAACAATCTTAGTATTCGTGAGAAAGAGCTTAAATTAAGCTAAGTTTCTATTTTGTCGAAAAGTTCATGTGCAGTAAATTGAAGTTACATTTTCATTTGATCCCCTCCGCTCTTATTGACTCGTGAGCGCAAAGAAAATGGTGATCTTGTCTCGCTTCGTACCGGTCCAAGACCAGGTTGGACAACAAAGCAGGTCATCTTTCTCACTTTACTCTGAACTTTTCGTTTTGTTTGGCCTAGAGGTGGGTTGGGGGAGGAATTTGGCACTTTCGTTTGGTTCTTTTTGATAGTTGAGGTTGGCTGACAGGTTTCATCAAAGTGAGACCTGTTAACTTTTGTCAAGCTGTGAGGTTGCACCCACTCGAGCGACAAGACGACGAGTCATAGGGCAGCTTCTACTACCAATTCCACTTGTCGTCTGTGACTTCTTTGGCTATCAGCTTAAGTAAGCCAAAACCTCGAGAGGTACTAGTAGTAGATGTAGTAGATTGTAGGAGGTTGCGAGTGTGGGTGCTCTAACTTTCTCCTCCCAATTATCACCTAGACCTTAATTTGCCCTTCTAACAATCACAGAGGATGCGAAATAAATGTCTAAGCAATGATGTCATTCAACGCCACACGTATCCTGACGTTCTTGGGCTGGGGACGTCGTCGAATTCTGGGATATCCCTGCCACCACCACAAACTTCTCCCCCCCCCCCCCAATCCCTCGGTTATCCGCCTTCGGTGGGCCCATTTCACTCGAAACTCACCATCAACGACCAGTCCACTTCTTATACCAATATTTTCAAAAATTGTAAACATTCCGCCGTGAAGCGAGAAAGATATATGTGGCGCGCGTGAAATGGTAAAAATTAACTGCTGGAAAAATTGACCCTTAGCCTTGGTGCCCAGACGCGATCCCGATTGTAATCCCCCACAATGATTATGTGGTCTGTTCTGAATCCTAGCAATCCTTCGAAAT